TCCCCATCAGAGATGGCATCTGGCTGTGCCTGGTGTCCATGGCCCGTGGTGTGTGGTGAGCCGGGAACCATTCACAGGAAGGAGCTGGCACTGCTAGCAGCTGGCCATGCCATGGCCAGCTGCTCCTCATGGTGGGGTCTGGGGTTGAAGCATTGTTGAGGCAGTTGCTGGCCAGGGCTCCCTGAGCTGCTGCTGGGTACAGGAGCTGGGGAGGTGGGTGGGGTGGAGCACTGCATCTCCGAGGGTCCTTCCTCCAGTGACGGCTCATTGGAAGGTTCAAGGCAGTGCAGGGGCTCAGTCAGGTTGACCCTCCTGGTGACCACTGCAGGGGTGCAGCCTGGGTCCTGGAGTGCTAAAATCTGGGTCAGCTGCCACGTGAAGAGCATGGTTTGATGGGCACAACCAAACCAACAATTGTGGTTGGTCATTGCCACCCACTGTGCCTGCAAGGCTTTGACCTTTATGTGGCATTGCCAAGCCATCTGGGAGTGTCCTATACATGTGGGTGTTTGAGCACCCTCTCTGCACGAAGTGCCGCTGCACCTCCACTTCACCCCAAAGGGCCATGAGGTCACCAATCTCCTCCCAGGTCCAGTTGGGAGTCAATGTGGATGGCACAAGTGAGTGCATGCAGGTGGGGCCAGACCTCAATGGAGAAGATGATGAGGATATCATGTCCTGCACTGGCTTTCTGGGCCCCCACACAGCTGTACCTGTGTGACTGGCACTAGACAGGGCTCAGGAATGCTCAGGAGTGGGACACAGCCAAGGACTGGGAGCCACATGGCAGAGGCAAATGTGCCACAGCACCTGCAAACACAGGAGACAGTGCTGGGGGTGAGCAGCACCAGGGACCAAGTACAGACTCTGCTGCCAGTGAGCCAGGCAGCAGCCCTGGGGAGATCTCAAGGCTGGGCAGGGTGTGCAGCAGGCTTCAGTCCTTTGCAGCACTCACATGTGGCCAAGCATGAATTCCAGCTATGGGACAGGACTGGCAGAGGCTGCCTGAGTCCCGGTAGAGGCACACATGGCCTGCAGCTAGGGGCTGCCAGAAAGCAGCCCAGCCCTGGGGCAGGAGAAGCTCCCAGCCAGGAGTCCTGGGGTGGGCTCAGGGTGGCCCTCTAATGGCTAGGCAGACCCAGTACTAAAGCTAGTACCGGGTCATGTCTACATGTGTGTTAATGTGCTTTAACTAATCACACCTAAATTTGATACTTGCATTTGCAGGTATCAAATTTAGGTATGATTAGCCTAACTGCCATTTTTAATGCACAGTAAGGGCATGCACGTGTAGATGTGTGCCTTTACTGCGCATTAAATTAGGCTGATGAGCATTAACTTGTCTCGTGTAGATGTGCCCTATGACTTGAAAATAACACATGCAGGGCATCTTTTCATGTGCTTCAGTGATGCGGGGAGTGTGTTTTAATTAGAGCGGCTCTCAGGAGTTTTAATCAGAGTGGCTCTCACATGCTGAATACATGTGATACCGAGGCTGGTGGAGTATCTTAATTAGAACACTCCAGCAGACTTGATTAATCAAGTCGACTCTGACGCATTCTAATTAGAATGCATCAGAACTGGTAGTGCCTATGTTCAGAAAAGGGAGGGCAGGGAATAAGTGACACAAGCAACTGCAGTGCTATTAGTTTGATTGTAATACTACATAAGGTTTTGGGACAGGTATTGAAAGAGAATAATCAAGGACATGAAGGTAAACATGAAATGGTGCAAAATGCGACATAGCTTTATCCAAGGCAGATTGTGTCAGACCAATCTAATATCCTTTTATGACACCTTAAATGACTTCTTAGATAAGGGCAACATAGTGAACATAACCTGTGTAAACTTAAGCAAAGCATTTGCAACTGGGCCCCAGCTGGAGAAGATTGGGATAAGTGTAAGGCAGATACAGAGTTGGATAAAAAGGAGACTAAAAGAAGTTATAGTGAAATGGAAACTAGGAGATTAGCAAGAAGGTACTAGTCATGTTCTACAGGTGTTGGTATGGGACTGATTGTGTAGAACAAGGGTGTCAAACTCATTCCATGCCATATGGAGCTTCTTCACAGCCTGGAGCACAAGGTGGCAGGGGCAGTGGCGAGTGAGGCTGTATTGGCATAGCCCACACTCACCCTCTAGCATGTCTACCAGAGCCCAGGTGCCCCAGATTCTGTAGCAGGCCGTGCCCCTCTGTGGTCATGTCCTCCGACTTCCACTAGCTGCTGGTAGCCTCACAGGATGGATAAATTGGCTCTTGGGGCTGAATCTGGCCCACAGGCCATATGTTTGATACCCATGCTGTAGAATTTTTCAGTAGTAATCTTGATGCAACAACTAGATGTGGACCTATGAAATTTGTGCATAACACAAACTTAGTGGGTTTTGCTCATACAGAGAAGGATCAGAGTATGCAAAATCACATGATCTGGGACTAATGCCATGAATTTTTACTCTAAACTGAGGGCTTGTCAATTGAGGGCAAGAAGAAGAGAGGAGCATAGGTATTTTGGTCAACTGTAGGGTGGACATAAGCCACCAGTGTCATGGGGCTATAAAAAAGGCTAATGCAATTCAAGAGTGTATTAGTCAGGGTATTTTTTTGTAAAGATAGGAAAGTATTAGTGTGCAAGATCCTTTTAGAATATTCTGTAGAGTTCCAGTCACCTACGTTCAAGAAGATAAATTTAAATTAAGACAGATGCAGAGGACAACTAGGATGATTAGGAAACTAGAAAACCTGTTTTAGAGCAGGAGATTAAAAGAGCTAGGCTTGCTTAGTTTAGGAAAATGATGGTTGAGAGGAGTTATAATTACTTTTTATAAATATATTTGGAAGGAAGGAAAAGAATCTCAGGAGAAAAGCTATGCAAGACCAGTAACAATGTTACAAGATCAAATGGACACAAACTGGTCACGAAAAACATTAGAGTTGAAATTAGAGGCGTGAAATTTTTGAATGGGGAGAGGAGAGAAACATAAATGTCATCAAGATGGACCTTGATAAATTTAGGGATGTAATAATATAACCTAGGAGTGTTTTGGGAATACTAGTCCACTATGCATAGGCACTGAGTACACGGGGACCTGAGGACTCTGGCCCTCCTCGGGAAGAGGCATAGGGTGATCACTCATCCCTTATTAGGTAGGACAGTCCCAAAATGTTAACATCAAGTCCCAGTCTTAGCACGCCCCCCCCCCCCCCCCCCCCAGCAAAAATAAAAGTCAGCGCCTATGCCACCACGTGATATATGACTTCAAGTGTTTAGTATCCATATGGGAAAACTTGACCTTTGGGTGGGCTATAGCACGTGGGGGAGGTGCCTATTAATCTCCTGGCTTCTATTGCTTTTCTGTTAGGGTGAGAGAATTTTTCCCCCTTGAATGTACTTTTTTTTTTTTTTGGAGGGAGCTTCTGGGGTTGTGTGGATTTTTAACTTTTTCCTTTTTTCCTCCAGATACTGGCTACAGCTTGAGGTTGGCAATCACCTGTGATGCTCCTAATTATTCAAAGTAACTGTTCAGGTGGATAGTGGGTCTTGATCATTCATTCAGGGTCAAGCTGATTGCCAGATTAGGGATCCAGAAGGAATATTTCCTCCAGGTCAGATTTGGAAGGATCATTGGGGAGTTTTTGCTGTCCTCTGATGTTTGGGGCATTTTTCATTTCATAGCATCATATGGGTACATCTTACCTAACATTTTCCCTGTCATTACAGTGACCAAAGCATCCACAGTGTCCTTGTCTGTCTTGTTCTCTTCATATGGCATATAGTAGAAGATAATAGAAGATCTTTTTATTATTATTGCATGCCTTGTGGCTGCGGCGTGCAAGAGGCTCTTGAAAGACTGTTTCTGTAGATCCTTTTGGAGAGATGATTATGAAACTAGAGAACTGGACTTGATGTCCCAAAAAGTTCTTTCCAGTCTTATGTTGTCAAGAAATTGTATATTAAGACTGAGGCGTGTTTCTTGGTCCTTGTGCTCAATAATGCTTTGCTTGTTTGTTTCCTTTATCTTTTGCATGACTACAGTCATTTGTTAGGTTAAGGCTTCATTCGTGTCCAAAGGAATGCTTCAGGAGGGGGGTATGGTTCCTTAGTATCTGTTCCCTGCAGAGATTAGTGTAGGTATAGCTCAGCATTTTCTGTAGGAGTATGATAGTGTAAGGGACACTGAATTAGATCTTCATTCCTTTTCTGTTCTCTGGAGACATCAAAGGTGAAACCAGTGTGTGGGAGATATGAGTGTGGTGATAGAAAAGATCTAACTGTGGGGCCTGAAGGGGCAAGATATTTTTTTAAGCTTTGAGTACATTCAGCACAAACTTCCATGTACATTTGCAAACAGTTGCTCAAAACATATCTTTATGAACTGAGTGGGATGCAGGGGAAGGTGGGAACCTGCAAGTCATTTACACACTCATTGCATCTTAACTTAAGATCATGCAGCCCTGGCTTATCTAGGAAATCTGCATCTAGCAGATATTCTATCCTCTCTCCCACTAGTTAAAAAGCTAGGTTGGATGACACTATTGTGAGTAAAAGAAAGTTTGGGTCCAAAATGTATTAAGCTAGTCAGTTCGGGACCTAAGTGCTTTTAGACTCCTTTTATTGGCCTTTATAGCTCCCTTTTTGAAGCATATTGTTTAGAGTATTGCATTGTGATATTTAGATTACTATGTGACCTGTATTTTCTGATGTCTACAATTATTTATAAAGTAAACAAATTACTATTAAACAGCTTGTAATATTTATCGCATATATTAAAATGCTGAAAAGGTGAGAAATGTTCAGTTTTCCCCTGAGTGCTGTATCAACTAATTTAACTATGTTGGTGGGTGGTTTTACATTCTGCTGTAGACATTTGTAATTTTTTTATGTGAAGACATATGAATCCAAAGGAAAAGAAACTTTCCTTACAAAATTCACAGCCCTGTTTAAAATTAAGCTAACTTTCAAACTACATGACATTTGAAATGCATATATTTTTCATTATAGGCTATGGCACAAAAAGAAGATATGGAAGAAAGAATCACTACCCTTGAGAAGCGCTACCTCAGTGCACAGAGGGAATCCACCTCTATACATGACATGAATGATAAGCTGGAAAATGAACTGGCAAACAAGGAGGCCATCCTACGCCAGGTTCAGTATCTGCATCACTGAAATGGCTCTATTCATGCAGAATAAAAGTTAGCATCCGAGGACAAAAAAAAAAAAAGAAAGTACAGGAGTTATAGTAGGAGGTTTCTATTAAAGTAGGTTGAGCTTCTCATTCTGAGTCAATGAACAAATCTGCCTTAAAGTAATTCAGGCAATTTAGTCTACAAATTTCATATCAGCTGCTATAAACCTATTTAACAAAACCAATTTGCCCTCTCAACTTCATAAAGTAGCTTCAGTCAGTTATGTTTTCAAGTGGTGTCCTGCACTAGAAAGGGCAGATCCAGGATTTGGCAAAGTGGGGTGCAGGAGTGTTCACCCAGTTTCAGGGGTGACTGCACCCCTACTCCCAGCATCTTCCCCTGCTACCAACTTGTGTGGCCACGCTGTACCATAGGAATCCTCCCACTTCCCCTCCATGCTCAGAGGCACATCTTCTTTCCTCCCTTCCCCTCCAGCTGTTGCTGCTTTCCTTGCTGTCCCAGGAGCAGAAGATGCTTCACAACTTTTCTTGCCCACTCCAGCCATGCTGCATGGCGGCTGGACTCAGCTGGGAATAGCGACAGTGGCAGGGGGGGGGGGGGGTTCCCCCTCCCTGCATGTGCTTCCAGGGGACCAGGTAGGATGGGGGAAACTTACCCTTGCCCATCACTGCTGCTGTTGCTGTTCCAAGCTGAGCCCAGCCCCCACACAGCCCAGATGAAGCAGGGAGGAGCAGTTCTGAAGCTTTCCCTATTCCCAGGACAGCAGGGAAAGCAGCAACAGGTCAGAGGCCAGGGGTGAAAAGAGGCAGGGGTGGGCCTTTTCACACAGAAGGGAAGTATGGGATTCTCACCTGCTTTGGGGGGTTAAAATTTCCCCAAGAGGCTCCTGCAGTATAGTCCAGTCTGAAAAGGGTGTGCAGCGGTGCCACTGCACACCTTCTGCATCCACCCAGTGCATCTGAAGTGACATTACCTAGGCAAAAAATGAAAGGTTTTTTTTCCATATAGTCTTCACTCGGATACCATTAGTCACAAAATAGAAATAGAAATATAGGAAGAGATGTTCTTTAGCAATTCAGCCAGGACACTGGAAGTCAGTTCTCATTTTGTATTCCTAATTCTTTCACTGGTTCAATACAGCCAGTAGTAAGACAGATGTATAATGCTGCAAAATTAGTGTACTCATACTTACTTTATAAAGGTGTGTGAGGTATTATTAGTTGCTATGTATTAGTATGTTATGTCATCATCAGGTGTCACGGGGTGAGAAATGTTACATCCCTATTATGCAACAGGGCAAACATAGTTACTAAACAGTTAGGTCATTTCTTCTTAAGGTTGTATAATAGCTCAGACTTTTGGCCCTGATTCTCGTTTAGCCGCACTTACATGATAAACTTACTGTGCCAGGCAGTCAAGGCCTTCAGATATTCTTCACTGCTCCACACAGGCTGCCTACAAAACTAGCAGTTTTGTCAGGATATCCACACTAATTAGCACTGCCACGCAACAGTTCTAACTAGTTCATCTGAAACATTGCACCAGGCAAGATTGAACTACTTCCAGTTTAGGTGGCAGCAGTGCAGAACAATGAGGTATGCTTGAAAATGCTGCTGCTTGGCATAGTAAGTGTGCTATATAGACATAGTCTTTGGGTGCACCAAGATGAGTACAGATGTGCTGTATGTGCCACCGCAGACCCGTCTGGTAGAAAAAGTGTTAATATGGGGGGCAGAGCATCCTGGATGCCCCTTGACTAAGCACCCTGCAGGGGCTTCACCAAGGCAGACAGGGGGTCAAGCAGGCCCCCTTTGAGACCTTGGCCCCAGGCAGGACTTGGACCTGGGGTGGTGGGAAGGGAATGGCAATGCATGGAGTCAACCCCTGCCTTTCCAAAAGGAGAAGGACAGTAGGAAAAGAGGCACTGCTGGGATTTGAACCCAGGATCTCCTGTTTACTAAACAGGCACTTTAACCAGCTAAGCCACAATGCCAACCACAGGGAATCTTTATTGCTACACACTACACATGTCACACATGCAGGCATTCCCCACACTGCTACTTTGCAGCGCTGGGGGCAGGGGGGTTGACCCCAGGATTCTGGGGCCAAAAAAACCCAAGCCTAAAAACAGTGGGGTGGCACACATGGTGGCAGCATATGCCACCCAAAACCGGAGCCTGGCCGGCTTCAGGCACATTCTGGCTGCCAGCCAGGCTCCACGCTGCAGGATCCCCATGGCTGCAGCTCCTGGAGGCCCCTAGGTCTGCAGGTAAGGCTGCTGGGGACAGCACAGTTGGTGGCCCCAGCCTCCCCTACCCCACCCGGGGTAACATGGTGCACATCAGAGCATGTGTGACACAGGCATTTCCTGGGGACACGTAGCAGCAGCACACCTTATGCCGTTGCTGTTTGTCCCTAAGGAAACACACATCTTTGCTCATGGGGAGCCTGATGTTGTAAGCCTATCAGCCAGCTGTGTGCCTTAGAGCAGCCTCAGATATAATTTAACAAAGGCTTGGTCCAAAAATAAGTGGGCTCAATGGCAATTTGCCCCTTCTTCCTATCTTTAACATTTCCAGCACATTTTTTTATTCTGGAATCAGCAAGGATGGATGATTTGGAGGCATTCTACATGCTCTATTAGGGTGGGGAGTGAGGAACAAGACAGGACTATTCGCCTAATTGTTATATAGGGGTGTGAGACAACAGAAAATCTAGTCATATACCTGACCATTGGGTAAAGTGAGTGAAGTTGACCACTTTTCATTTGGTTAAACTGTATGAATTGAAAACTCCAATGAATATTTTGAAAATGTAGATTTGTTCTCCCCCAAGACACAGAAGAAGAGTAAAAAAGAAAATCTTTTCCTTCTGTCAGACATTTTTATAATGCTTTAGCACATACATTGTTTCCTAACTGCATCAGACTGTATTCAAATGAACTTCATTTTCAGTGATCTGGAAGAAAGCATAAAATCATTGTGCTAAATGATTTTAGAATAACATTCTAGCATTTTATGTGAGGCAAAAATGTGAGGGACATATAATTTAGGGGACAAGTCAGGGACACCAAGAAATCTGGATGGTTTGGCAAGATATACATGTATGAAATGTGTTTTAATGCAGTGAAGTAAAAAGTCACATGGGCCCAAATTCAGCTCCCCTTTTGGCAGGTATGTAGCACTTACTCAGCTAACTTCGCTGTGTTGGTGCCATTTTGAACATATTTTTAGATCCTGCTCCCTCTTCTTAACAACTTGCTCTGACTGTTTTTGTCCTGCTAAAGTCCTTTTTCACCTAGTCAAATGTATCAACTTTGTGTAAATCCCTGTGGGGAAGAGAGGAGGGCAGATTTCCAAACTTTTAGCCCGAAAACCTTGTGGTTAGAACACTTGCCCAGGAATGAAGGACCCAGGTTGTATTTCCCACTTACTCACATATGGTTTGAACCTACAACCCCACCTACCAGCTTAGTTAGCTCAGCTTGCATTGCCAAGAGCAGACTCCACCTTTCCTGTTGAAGCTGGCCCATGAGCAATAAAGAAAGGAAGATAATGTGAGGCTAGGGGAAACCCAAACCAGAGGATGTTTGGCTCAGTAATGAGAGCACTGCACTGCAAGGAAAGTGTCTTGGGTTTTGGCCCCCTTCCTCCAGTAGGATAAAAGCTATCCCACTGCTATTTTCTCAAATGACACTTAGATGCAAAATGCAGAAATATCATCCGATGTTCCAGCCATCAGTTCATTCCAACAATTTTGTGGCAGTTGTATCTGTTTAAAATGTGTACTACTTCGTATTTTAGCTCCCTCTTAACTTTGCAATGAACTAGACTCAATAATTCTGTTTGTACTTTCCAAAATGGCTTTTACTGGCACCAGTACATTGCTTTTTGCTTGGGTAAGCAGTACACAGATCATGGAAAAGGAGTGTTTGTTCATCTTTGTACTTTACAATTTGTGACTCCTTTTATTAGCCTCAAAAGGCCTCAGATCCTTAGTCCTCAAATCAGGCATAATAAATATAACAGGCCCATACTCTTCCATACTTAGATTAATCATTTTTGCAGCAGCATAATAAGGTCTCTCAAGCTAGATAATACCTTTGCCTGTACCCAGTTCGACTGACCTTCTCAGAAAATTCTTTTAAGAACTATAACAAGTTTTTAATTCTGGTTTTTATATTTTTTTTTCCATCTCTGGGTTTCAGTTGGAAGAAAAAAACAGACAGCTGCAAGAACGTCTTGAGCTAGCTGAGCAGAAGCTTCAACAGACAATGCGGAAGGCTGAGACATTGCCGGAAGTAGAGGCTGAACTGGCTCAGAGAATTGCAGCATTGACAAAGGTACTGCACTGAGAAATAGGTTCACTTCAGAAGCATATATGGTTTAATTTTGATTTATTATTCCTCCTTTTGACAACAAGAGCAGTAACAGTAACAAAAAAGCAACATGGTTTCAACGCGATTTGGAAAAAATGCCCTGTGCTAATGTACTAGAAGCAAATGTTAAATATATGACATAGTTATTATTTACCTATCTTACATTGATGCGATTGGTGCAACTCAATATAACAATATTATGTAACCTGACTGTGATTTCTCAGTGTTTGTGGGCAGACAAATTAACTACCCTTACTTACTTTAAAGTCCATTAGGGCCAGGTACAGACATTACACTTTTAATGATATAAATGATTGGAAATGAGTCTATACCCATAACAGAACAGAAGTTCTGCACACAAAACTGGTCTATACCTGTAACAGAACAGAAGTTCAGCACGCATAGACTGGCTTAAAAATGGTGGAACCCGGTCTAAGACTTGCCCCCACCACCAAAGAGTGAATGTGTATTCTGTTTGCTACTGATCTAAACTACACCACTTACAGAAAACTGTGTAACTTAGATCGATTCCACCTCAGGCTTTTTGAATGTCTGTATTTAGCCTATCTGTATAAGGAGTCATAGATTTCCAGTATCACTAAAAATTCATGAATCCATTTAGTTTGCAATACACAAACATTTCACACTTAACAACAAAAGAAACAGTCATGCTATTACTCATATTTATTTTTTCATGATGTTTTTATACACCACATCAATTAGAAAAGACACAACAATCATTTTCACTACAATAAATGACACAAAATAACATCTTCCTTACTGGCAGTTGGGATCATTTGCGTAATAAAAACAAAGCCATCTGGAATATTTACTTTGAAAAAAATAAACCCTCTTGTAGCAGATAGTCAGAATACAGTTGATAAATCACATAAAAAATGCAAAGCCCTAAAGGGACCAAAGACAGCCTGGTTTCTATGTTAGCAGCTTTCTTACAGAAAAACAAGACAAAAGTACATTTTAAATATTGCAGCTGTGCATACAACTAGTTCTGTAATTCAAAGATTATTAGCTTTATTTTGTCACATTACTATCATAAAATAATTTATCCATCGCATTTTATAGTCAGACAAAATGAAAAAAGCCAATATAGGATATGATGTTACATATTACTCTGATAGGTCTAAACTTTCCTTTTTCTGTCACTAAAGGAAGATTGTAGCAAACTTTGCAGACAAATGTTCATATTTAATGAATGCTAAAAAATTATTTTCGTTCCTTTGTACTGGGTCATCAGTACCTAGTCGTATTAATTTAGCCTAATTGTTTCTGCATTTTAGTGATGAGGACATTATACACACATGCACACGTGTATATTTTATCTCAAGAAGTCAAGATCAGTATTCAGTAATCAGGATATTCACTGATTATGTAAATGGCTTGAATTCTGAAAGGCAGACTGAAAATGAAGATTCAGCAAAAAATGAGCTAAATGAAATGACAAACAAATGTTCCAACATTTTTTTTAAAACCTCATGTGTGTATAAAGGCAACCTTGGCAGCTTTAAATTGCCCAACTGTGACTGATACAACAAATGACCCTATTTTAATTATTGTTATTATTATTACTATTATTTTAATGCCCTTAGCAATGCAAGAGAGTGTTGTCTTATATTTTTGAATAATTTTTCTTTTCTTGAATCATTTCTGCTGTATTTGAGGAACCAGGCAGTATTTTTAAGCTTCAAGCACATCTTTTATTGTCACCATTTTTTAATTGAATTAATATTAATAATGAATATTGTGAGAAGTCTTCAGTATGTAATATTTTCAAGTGCTATTCCTAGGCAGAGCTCTGCCAAAAGAAAGTTCTCATGATGGACATCATGAGAGGAAGTGGCATTGTAACTCCACACCAAATACTGTTACCTGACTCACCTGTGCAGCTGTAGCTTACTCATTTTTAACTAAGATTAAAATTGTGAGGGGAAAGACAGTAAGTGGCAATAATGAGGCTAGCAACGTTTGAAGAGTCACCCTAAATTCCTGGCTGAGATTGTGAATATGGAAGGGAGAGGTGAACCAGGAATTTAGGTGCCTAGCATTGAGAAGCAGCTAAGCTGGTATGAAGGACAGGAAATGAATCTCAGGGAAGATTGACCCTGAGAAGCAGAAGAAAAATAGAAATCAATGGGACATTATAGCGAGAGAAGAGAAAGGAAAAGTAAAAGCAAGAGAGATATTTATGTTTATATATTTATTCAAACATTAAAATATAGATGTATTTATCTATAAAGTATAAAGTGTCTAGGCTCTTTTGCTATTTGTTGAAAAGGAATGAAGTAGCTGGTAAATAAGTGCAGATAAATAAGTGCAGTAGCCACTCCAAAGTCAAGAAGGGAAGATTATTTCAAAACAAAGAAACAAAAAAACCCGAAAAATTATGCCACCACATTTTTTTCGCAGTCTTCTATGCAACTGCAAATGTCTGGGGGAAAACTTTGGTTTGCAAAGTGTTCACATGACCAACAAAGTTGATTTGTTTTGGAGTCTTGGGGGCAGTGAATTACAAAACCAAGGGCTCTTGTGGAAAGCCTCTGTCATTATTCAGTCTGGAGAAAAGAAAAATGAGGGTGTAGTTGATAACAGTGTTCAAATACCTGAAGAGTGATTATAGAGTGGATGGAGCCGGGCTTTCCTCTGAGGCTATATAGCCTCCAGCTGCAGGAGTTTGTTGATTAGGAGGAACTTCCTGACTATTAGGGTGGTTGAAACTTCAAATAAGCTATCTAAAAAAGTTTTATGTCCAGCTCTGGAAATTTTTAATAGCAGGTTGGACAGACACTTGGCTGGGATGGTTTAGTCATGGATGATCCTACCTTGAGCAGGGCCTGGACTAGATGATCTAGTGAGGTCCCTTCCAGCTCTACTTTCCTATGATCTATTTTAGTCAGACAGGATACTCACTCAAGATATTGCCATTAAATACTGTTCTTATTATGACCAGAAAACTCACTATGCATTTTCACATCTTTTTCAAAAAAATTAATTTGACATGTCTAGAGAAGTGGTTTTAAACCTGTGATCTGCATACTCCTGGAGGTCCACAAACTATGTCTAAGGGGTCCATGAAAGATGACTATGATCAATCAGTAGTATGTGAATATCCACACTTACAATTTATAGAGGTGCGTACCTCCATTAAAAATATCCAAAGGGGTTTGCACCTCCATTTAAAATGTTTAGGGGTCTGCAAATGAAAAAAAGTTGAAAACCACTGGATTAGAGGAAAATCTAAAACATCATTTAGGCTTCAATACCAGTTCTATTACTTTCTAATTATTTATACAGTGAAAACTTGAACAAATATCGTTTTTTTAATATCCTTATAGAATACTAAATATGAAATATGAATGCTAAATACTAAATATGAATGAGTGACAAAATCTGATCCATACATCATATTGATTAAGTATATAGCTTATATGTTCTTATTTCAAATTTATGCAAATGTTGTTAAAAGTGCATAAATGGGAATCTCTGTATTTTCCAGACAACAATAAATGTTTTTAAATGCTTTAAAATGGCTAGCTAGTGCACAGGTGCAAACTGTAACATTTACCCAAGTAGCTGAGTAACTCATGCTGTTAGCATGCAAATGGCTCCATGCAAATGTGGCTATATTGTTATAGGTGCCCAAGTAAGCTAGTTTAAAGTTAGCTCAGGTATATCCCATTCACTGCAGTGGAAATCTGCCTTGGGAGGTTAAAGGTGAGTCTTCTGAGCCAAGTCCCTCTACATATGCTGCACTGAAACAAAACCAAAAATATTGATTCTTCTTGATTCCACCTCATTAGAAGTGACCCCACCGAAATTAGTGGAGTTTCATTACTGTAAAACTGGTAAAAGAAGTAGGCGCATATATTTCACTTTTTTATCAAAGTAAAATAACATGGGATGGCATAAAACATGCTTCCCTGTGGATAAATGATGAGAACAGTAGTCATGGATTACCTATGATAAAAACACAGTGTAGATACGTTCTTCGAATTTGATTTGATACTCTTCAACTCAATGGCCCAGCAGCATGTATGTATGGATTTCTGTTTTGCCATTCCACTTTAGTAAATCCAGATTAATATTTTATAAGACAAATGTGATAGAAGATTTTGCTTCTAAAATCATGTCAGTTGGGGTTTGGGTTTTTCTCTATATTTTATAGAGTGAATTGGTGAATATTTTCTGCTGCTTTTTCACAAATTAGTCATAAGGTGTGAAATTCTAAAAGTCTGGAGATCTTGGCTAAGTATCCAGAAAGTTACTTGATTCATCTGAGACTTTGTTTGGCTTAGTTTTCAGTGTGGACTAGCCATAAGGTGAGCCACTGCAATATCAGCCAATCTGTAGTAAAGGAATCTGGACAGGTGCATGGCCTGTGCTGCCAGGCTTCTCATCAACGCTGGCATTGTGGCTGAGGAACTTTGTAGCTGTCTGTGGCTATGGATTCACATTCATTTATAACACTAGTAAGTGCTGAGTAGAGTACCATCACACCTTGACTGTTGTGCTGCACAGATGTGTTGCATAACAGCCCATTTCCACTACAGGCACATTACAGTAGCAGTATGTAATAACAAGTACCCAAGTTAGAGACTAGCTGACAACTCAAAGAGTAGTGGCTACCTCATTATGTGGCACTAGTCAGGTATGGCTGTGTGAACACAATATGTCAAGGGAAAAACCAATAAATGAATTTAAATTAAATCTACAATGAATATGGGGCCTTAGTCTGTGTCATCATTCAACCAACCCCTTGTGGTAGAGCCTATGAACTTACTGCCAATCATGGAAAGTTATTTCCCTGCATGAACTACATTTTTAGAGATAGGACATATCTGGCTACATTCAATACAGATTCATTTCCTCCTCTTAAAGGAAATGATCTGCCTTGGTCCAGTCTGAATCTACTACATTTGCATCTCTTCTTAGGGCTGCTTTTCTTGAAGAAGTTGACAAAAGTTTGTTTATGAAGGACTGGAGGGTGGATGGTTTTGGAAAGGAGTGAAAGTTTGTATGAAGTGCTGCATGACCAAAAAGATTCATAGATTTCATAGACATTAGGGCTGGAAGGGACCTCTCAAGATCATCAGGTCCAGCCTCCTGCCCAAGGGGCAGGAAGTTAGCTAGGGTCAAAGGATCCCAGCAAGACAAACATCCACATGTTTCTTAGCCACACTCTTAAACATGAGTCTAGAGTAGGTGCTTGCAGGGGGAGTCTATTCTAGGCCTTGGGGGCTTGGACAGTAAAGAAGTTTTTCCTTATGTCCAACCTTAAATGGTCTTGGATGAGTTTGTGACCGTTGGACCTTGTCATCCCTTGGGGGTGCTCTGGTAAACAGGTGTTCCCCCAGATCCTGATGCACACCCCTTATGTACTTATAGGCTGCTACCAAGTCACCCCGAAACTGCTTCTCCAGGCTGAAGAGTCCTATGGCTCTCAGCCTCTCTTCATAAGGCTTGTTCTCTTGTCCTTTGATCATGCGCATGGCTCTCCTATGGACTCTTTCAATCTTCTGCACATCCTTTTTGAATTGTGGAGCCCAGAATTGGATGCAGTACTCCAACTGTGGCCTTACCAAGGCTGAGTACAATGGGAGAATGACATACTGGGACTTATTTTAGAAGCATCAGTGGATACAAGCCAGAGGTTTGTTTGGTTTGCCAAACTTCAGGTTTGCCAGATGGCAAACCTGAAGGAGAGAATGAGTCTGGAAATCTATGTGGCCAGGAAACTTTTACCAGAAGCAATCAGTGGCAGCAAAGGATGGGTACATTGAAGGTAATGCTAAATTTGACCGGGTGTTAGTGGAAGAGACTATGTGGTAGGATAATGAGGAGAAAGGCAATTCTGATTTTTTTTAAAGGTGGACATGAATGGAGTCACAGGCTGACTCGATGGAAAAGACATAGTAGAGAGCAGGTAGAGTTAGGAAACGGATGCTGAAAGTGGCTGAGGCCCTGGAGAACTATAAATTCAAGTTTATGAAAAGACTGGGTTCAGGGAAAGGAAAGGAAATGATAGAAAAGTCCACAATGGAATGATGAAGCTGTGCTTAGAAATGGAAATGTGCTTAATAATAGTAAGTATGGAGTAAGTGGCCATGCTGTTGTGAGGGCAAGAATCAAGAAAGTAATGCATGAGAGAAGAAATGAAACCATTCCAATTAATGAGTGACAGTGGTGTGCAAGTGTGAGGATCCACCATCAAAAATAAATAAAGAAACAGGTTGGTTGAGAGATATCAGGAGTTTCAAGGAAAAAAGGAGATAAATGTTGGCGAGCAAGTTGGTCAGATGTGGAGGAAGTGAACAGAGTAAGGTTTGTAATGGGCAGGAAT